ACGTCGTTTTGTAACGCAGTTCTCATCGCGCATGGCGAGGAAATGAATAGCGCGAGGTAGCTGTGCCACAATGATACAAAAAAAAAACAAAAAGAGAGAAAAACCGCTGTCAATACATTGTCAAAGAGCTCATCTAAAAAATGAAATCAATTCTGCATTTGTTTTGAATTTACCAATTAAATAAGACTTTGTCCTAATAATTTCCGTTAAATGAAAAATTATGCTTGTACAGTAGATACGAAAGAAGAGGAAGAAAGAATAAAGGAAAGAAAGAGCAGTTAAGTTGCAACTTTTGAAATGTTCAACGAATCCCTACGTTTCAGGTCTTAAATTGAAGCTTAGCTGTCCCTTTTTTACCGCAAAAATTTTTCGAATAACACTTCAACCGTGTGAAACAAAAGAAAAAACTAACATTTTCGGAAAATTAAAAAAAGTGTCTTTCACGATTGAACTTTTCAAGGTGAGTGCTATATCATGTCGACCTACCCACAATCGCTACCTGAGCTTACACGAGCCAAGATAGTATACTTGTAATAACGAAAAAAATAAGCCCAGCTAGAAGTATGCGGCTTAAACTGACAATTCCGCACATGGTTTAACATTTTTAAGTGGTACAGTAACTCACTGAGCAAATTGCAATGATGAATTTCCATTATTTACTCGTTAAACTGTAAAAAAATTTAATAATTATCATGTCACAAATATTAAACGCATTTCAAATGATCTGGAAATTGCAATTTAATTGTTTCAAAAAATTGTACTAGTTTTCAACCTTTTTTATACAGTAATATTACTTTAAGCCTTCGCCACTAGATGGCGAGTACCTTCATTTGTAAATCTGCAAGTGGCAAAGTCAAAATATTGGTATAAGTCGAAGCCGATCTATTGATAAAAATTTGTAAATATCGCACTTGGGATAGCTGTGCAAATCAGGACACAAAATACGCTTTTTTCGATAATAGTTTATGTATCTATACAAGAATTCATTTGATTTTTACGATGTAATATAACATTCTTGATATGTATGCTTGCCTATGTGTATAAAAGTATGGTAACAAAGAACAATAGCTGCTACTCCATAACTAATTTAACGCATTTTCAAATATTCATACAAATACTTTTAAAAGGTGTAAATGTGAATCCAACTTTACTTACTGATACATATTTGAATAAACACGACGAAACTCTTGTAAAAAAATTGAACCTCGATAAGTTATTAGAATATAATTTATCATGCGTGATTTCTTGAAATTTTCAGTTCTGTAAGTATATTCTCAGAAAATTCTATGAAACCTAAGTTTTTATAAAAGTATAGTAAAAACAATGTCAATTTTGCTCTTCTTATTTTCAGATTATAAAATAGTCATTTTCTTGTGCAGTAGCTTTTAGATCAGTCTACGCGTCCCAATGAAAGAGTTTTTATTCCACAATAAATTTGATAATATCTTCATTAAACTGCGTGCTTTGGTTTTTATAACATAAGAAACCTGCGTTTCAAATTTATTAGATTCTGCTTTATTTTAGTTAAAGTAATACACGGCAATTTGATTCTCCCACGTACATATACTTTTATATACATTTTGGATGTTTGGAAAAATTCTTAAAAATAAGTCTCTCGCTCGACGAATCGGGCTCACTCAAAATAAAAATATCAAAAAACGTAATTCTTTAAATGTGACTGATTTATAAAATTACGATGAAAATAGAATTTGCTTAATTGTTTTCCAATATATGTGATTAAAAAAGGCATCGCGTGGGTCCTAGCTTATACAGGTCATTGGTGGTTGAATTCGTTGAACGTTACGGCTTTTAGATATATTGAACTTATTTTTCCATATCTTTAGAAAATTATTCAAAAGATCATTCAAATATACTATTCAATAAATATAGCAAATTGAAAATGTTATACATTGTGCAATTCAGCCATATAACGATTTTTCAGCCAACCGACAACGTATGGATTTTTAATTTTTAATTTCTCTTCCAAACAACAACAATTTAATTAACTATTTTTTCACCTTTCTTACTCACTATAATTTTGTGTCTAAATGTAAAAAAACCGCTTGATATTCATTGGCAAAAAACTTCCTCCTTGAAATATCCATTCTCCTTATTTATATTTATTGATATCAAATTAATCTTTTAATGACACACAATTTTTTTTAATCGAAATCATTTTTTCTTCGCAATTGATTAATCTTCAACCCACACCCACATACAGACATCCGTCACAAATCTAGCCTTCTTGCGGTAGGAAGCAAAAAGTAGAGAAATTTAATATTTCGCAACGCAATCAGCGTTGAAAAATAAGTAGGGCAAACGCGTGTGTCCTATAGGCTCTCTCTCTCGTGTCGCCACCGCTATATTATACGCGTCTAGGATATATAACGTGCGGCGCTGCTGCTGCCGCTGTAACACGTAGAGAGAGAGAGAGAGGGAAACAAATCTCACTGTCACACAGCAGCCACGCGATATAGTTTTTCGTCCCTATGTGCTCTCTGCTACATACGTGTGCGGTGTGTGTGTGTGTGTTGTATAGCTATACAGCCGCGGGGGATTAAAAATGAAAATGAAAATTCGGTAGCTCGAGTGTTGCGGGGGCTCGAGTTTCATTTATAAATAATTTATATAATACAAAACGAGCTTCCAACACGCGCATAAAGCCTTTGCGTAATATTCCGACTGACGAACCGTGACAACTAAGTAGCGCATGGCGTCATTAATTAATTAATTAAACGATCAATGATAATAATTCGGATGATTGGATGCGGTAGTCACTGCAGTGGTGGCTGGCTACACACACACACACGAGCATGACGGAGTCGGTTACATCGCCCGTCTCCGTGAACACATATTATACTTCAAGCTGGCGTAAAATTGAATTTTACCGGCAGCTTTGCGCTTCGCTTGGTACAATCTCTCTCTCTCTCTCTCTCGTCTGGGTCGGATGTAATATGTTCGTAATATCATTATACGAAGGAGGATCGGTTGAATCGATTATACTATAAAGTTAAGAGCTTGAAAAATTTTTGAGAAGTTTTTCGAAGCAGTAAATCGTACTTTATATATACTAGTGCAATTGAGTAAGTAGTCGTAGTCAGGAACGAGTCAGCCAGCGGCTGGATATTTTTTAACATCAGAATTATAACGTGCTGGCGAGTAGTATACAACTCGCTAGTAAATACTACTACTACTACTACTACTGCTACTCTCACTGGTATACCATATACCATAATAATGCAAGCTCGGCAAGCGCTTGGTTTATTCAGCGAGAAATCTATCAAAGTCATTGAATAATGAAAAGCGCATAACGCCACCCGCGCATACACGTTGTACGAGTGTAGGCGATTAGCCTGCCCGAGCGATTATTATCTCGAATATTTCAGGAGCATAGGTGAGCCGAGCGAGAGAAGCGCCGGTGAGCCGGTGATCGATACAGTATATACACGACCGAGCATACAGTACGGTATTATGGCATATTATAAGATATAGATGCGTTGTATCAGATACACACACACACACACACATACATTGTATACAAATTTTCGGGAGCCCCCGCGGCGGATCGCTGGCAGCGTATAATATTTATCATCGTCGCAGGCGCGCGCGAGACATTATATGGTTTTTCGCCGAAGGATATTTTACGCTCACGTGTTTTATATTATACAATACACGGCTCGGGAGGTACAGGCTGACTGACGAAAAAAAAAGGGAAAAAGAGAAAGAAAGGCAGCCGGTAGGAAGCAAAAAAAAAAAAGAGAGAGAGAGAGAAAGAGAAGGAAGGCGAAGCCGCCAGCTCGCGTGTGCCACAGTTGCATATTAGCCCAATCCTGGCCAGCCATCTAACTTCCAACCGAGTAAACAAGCGCCTGCACATACATACCTGTACAATACGCGGTTGGGTATGTGCGATGCGTTGGTATTGTAACCACACGGGCATATATATATACACACTGCCGCAGCTGCTGTGCAGCGATATATATTATCTCGACTCGCGCAGCGCGCGCGAGAGGAAGAGGAAGAGAGAGAGAGAATTATGAATTGCGCGATCGTGGATATATATAAACACGTTTTCTTTCTGATGTAAAGCTTAAACTCCGGGCGGCTGCGTTTGTAATACATTTTATCGTGAATAACGACCCGCCGAATTTCAACCCCCGCGCGGAAATGACTTTTAATCAGTTTTTCCTGCAGTCAGTGGGTGTGTGTGTGCGCAGCGTCAGGACCGAAATTTAGCGTATATAACGCGTTCTGCGGGCGGCGCTTTGAGCTCGACGCGCGCGCGGGAAAAATACCCGCCACTTTGAAAACATACCCGCGCGTATACCCCAAAATTCGAATCAGCCCAGGCAGGTATATACACACGTGTGTAAACGCGTAGTACCTGTGTACGCGACCACTTTATGGCTTTGCCGTTGCAGAGCTGGGCGCAACTTTTCTCATTCCCTTCGTTTTTTTTTTTTTTTATTCTGCATACCGTCGACTCTCGTGCGCGCTCGCGTTTCGGCTTCTTTTACTCGCTCGCTGGAGTTTTCTTTTCGGTTATGCTCCCAGCAGCGGCAGCGGCAGCGAGGGAGCGAGAGAGTATATACGCACCGCCTTTGAGTACGTACGTACGTACGTTTGTCAATCCCAAAAGAGTCGAGGCGGCTGCTGTTGCTGCGCACACACGGGAGGCGGCAGTGCAGAGAGAAACGAGCGAGCTCGATCGATATTTATTTCTTTCTTTCTCTCTTTCCAACCCCCCGCTTTTTTTTATGTTTTAAAGGCTCTTCTCGTATAAGCTCGCGGGAGAAGCTCAAGGATTAGAGCTCGAGAGTTCAGCGAAGCTTCAAAGGGATATCACACATATATAATATAACTTTTGCTTAATCCTAATCTGGCGCAATGAAAATTCACCAAAAAAAGAAAGAGTCCCGCTTGTAGGACACTTTCTTCGTTATACGTACACAGTTGTAATAATTAAATAATATAATTGAAATATACGAAATGTTACTCACTTTTCTGCGTCCGCAGCAAAGCATGGCTAACGGGCTGAGCCACAGCAGCAGCGGCTGGCCAAGAATCAAACGTTGCTGATAGTACCGCTGCTGCTGCTGCTGCTGCTGTTGCTGATAATCGCGATGATCGATTAGCAGCTGCGGCTGGGGCTGGGGTCGCTGATACTGATACTGCAGCTGCTGATGATAATGCTGCTTCGGCAGCACCGGCTGACAGATGTAGCTCGGTTTACCGTCCGCGGTGCCGGGCAACTGTATGACCCTCAGCACATGCTGCTGCTGCTGCTGCTGCTGTAGCTTGCTCGGATGCCTGGCCGGATAGAGCTCGAGTAGGAGTTGGCGCAGCTCCTCTATGTCCTTTTCGTGGCTCTTGACCGAGGTGGAGCTGCGACGACGACGACTCTGTGAATTTTCTGGCTCTTGTGACTGCTGCTGCTCTTGACCGACTCGCGGACCGGCGTACTTGATGCGCACGTGTTTTAACCACTGCATTAGTACTACAGAGCTCGAGCGGCCTGACCCTCGTCGTCTGCCCCCTGCTGCATCTGCGCATCTGAGGATTCAAACAAACAGAGCGAAAATTAGACATTATTACGTGATATTATTTTGCTGACGAATATTATGATTATTATTTTAATTTCTATTTTATATCGAGCTTCGATCACATCGCGTCGTGTGTTGTGCCGGCGCGTGTTTACATTAATCGCTCGAGCCGCGCCTGGTCCTCTATACTCGTTTCGAGAACGTAACGGCCGATTCGTGGCGATTCTTCGGTTTAAAATATACTTCGGTGCTAAAATATACGAGCGCGTCAAGAAGATGATCCACGAAATCGAGTGCAAAAAGGATCTGAGTTTTGCCGTGGAAGAGGACCATCCGGAGAAAGTCTGGACGTGCAAAATCAAGAATCGCGATGGTCAAGAGCAATTGACGAAATTGATAAGAGAATCGGTCGATTGGACCAACAAAGAGGAGAGATACCAGTTTTATGAAAAATTTGCACAGCTGATTCGCGAGTGGCAGGGCCGGCCGCTCAATCCCCAGAAAATCGGTTTGACGGGCGGACAAATCGACTGGCTTCTGATGGAGGCGGCCAACTGGAGACGTACCAGATGCAACTATCGGGGCCAACTGGTCGTCAAGTTCGTGAGGTGCAGCGGTTACAAGGACAGAGTGTGGAAAAAAGGTTGGAAGAAGAACGCCGCGGAGCACCCGGTGGGCCGCACCACGGCGCTGCACGTCGCGGCCAGGTACCACTCGACGAGCTGCTACTACTGCCACAGCTTGATCGCCGATCTCTTCGAGATCTACGACAGACGCCACTTGAACTTCGCCGAGGTCGAGGGTGGTACGGGCCTCACTCATCTGCACGTGGCCTGCATGTCCGACCGTCACGCGGGCGTCGTGCGGAGCTTCCTCCTCGCGGGCCGGGTGGATCCCAACTGTCGCGCGTCCAAGACGGCCGACACGCCGCTGCACTACGCCCTGAGATGGCTGACCCATTGGCGGAATATCGCGCCGCTGCTCGAGGCCGGCGCCAATCCGAAACTGGCCAACGCCCGAGGATCCACCCCGCTGCACGTCATCTGCCAGAGAGAGGAGTTTCGACCCAACAACAGGGCTAAGCAATTCTTGGATCTGACCAGGCAAATGAGGAGGCCGGTGGACGTCGACGTCTGGGACGACGCGGGCTCGCCGCTCGAGTGGGCCGTGGCGAGACTCCTGCCCGACACCGTCGACGTGCTCGTGGACAACGGCGCCGATCTGTCCAACTTCACCTTTCCCGCCGCAGATTTCTTCGGCGAGTGCGTGTGCGCGTTCAACAATCAGAAACCGGCGTCCTGCGCGCTCTATAAAAATCGACTGAGACTGGTTTCCGGCGCTCTCGCGGTCGTCGGGCGTCTCAAGAAGAGAGGATACCAGCTGGAGGCGAGCGACGCTCGGACCATCGAGCAATTTTTCGCCAAGCACGGGGTGTCCGGCCGAGTCTCGGCGGAGGATTCGAAGACGTCGTACGATAAAGGGATGAAGAGATCGGAGGGCAAGTGTTTTCGCAAACCGACAAAGTCGTTGCTGAAAGAGTGCGAAAGGCTAAAGACACCGACGCAGTACTACGAGTTCTCGCGCCGTCTCGACGGCTTGGATTTGCATCCGGATTTGAGGAAGGCTCTGGATCAGCACCTGTGCGAGAGAGCAGTGAGAGGCTATTTTTGGAAATGACCACCTATAGAGGTGCAGTCCAGAGTCGAAGCCTTGAAATGAGTCGTTTATTTTATTTTTATAGAATTTAAGACATACGGTATTTACCGATCGTTGGTATTTACCGCAACGCAATTGTCAATAACGTATAAACAAAAGAATATAATGTATTGTAGTATCTTTGTACAATCACGCTAATTGTAATAATAAATTTGATTTTATCTCGATTCACGAATAATGAACGAGCAAATGAATTTTTCAATCTTTTTCATCCAGAATAAATTTTCGACTTACATTCGGTAAGTTTTGTCAGTGAGTGCCAAGGGGCTATACGTCAACTATATGTCGTACGTGTTGACTCCAAATCGATTCTTTTGACGCACCGAAAGTATGCAAATTTTGGAAAAAATGCGCGTGTCCGTCGGTGACGATATAACGAATTGATTCGCGATGAAAAATTAATAGGCCACGAGAAAGTTCGACGAAAAAAAAAATAGAACATTTTTATTAATTTTCATTTTTTCATCCTTCAGCCTTCCATCAACTCTATCGCTCATGCGTAAAAGCTCGTCTCTCTATCGCCCTTTATTTCTCTTTCCGCATTCAGCGCGTTTATATACACGAAATATAAATTCAAGGGAATCAGAAACAGTAGCAGCAGCAGCAGCAGCAGCAGCAGCACTGGTGCAGCAGTGTAGCAGCCCAAGAAAGTGGAGCAACCGCTCGACGGCGTACGCGCGTCGTGGATATATATTTTATTCATCGTCGACTTCTCGAAAATAGGAAGAAGCGAATTTCCGCGCGGAGAGAAGAAAGGGAAACGAGAACAAGCAGACCCACTGGGCAGACACTGGCTCCGTGCAGACGCGTCTTTGGTGTATACGTAAGCTTTGAATTTCGATTCGCCGATACTTATGAAATTCGCATTACAACCGACGAGGTGTAACGAGTAACGAGCGATTTTTAATTAGTTTCCATCGAGAACCGAGAGTTCAAATTATGCATCGAGTTTCCTGTTTTTCTTTTTATTTATATATACGCTGAGAGGCATCGACGATCAAGCACAAGTCCGCCGCGCGATAATATCGAAAGTCTGAAGAAATAATGACGAGCGAGCCGTGTGCAAGCTTAACGACGCGTTTATAACCGGATTTGGAATTCGGGTCGTTTTATTTCGGGCTTTCTTTCCAATTGAAAAATCGTTAACACCGCCGCTCGCGTTCGTGCTCCTGCTGCTGCTGCTGCTGGCTCATACTGCCCGAGACGTAGCAAAAAAAAATTTTTTTTACCTCGCGCGCTCGAGTCGAGGCCAACCTTTACCGGCGAACGTTAATGTTCCGTAATGTAACACGCTCGAATTCCGAGTCTATGGAAATTGCGATATTACTCCGCTTACGCTGGATTCTCTGCTGCTGCTGCTGCTCCGAGCGGCACACGATCATAGAGGAGAAGCACAAACCATAGCTCCGGATGCAGATAATTTCCGCCGCGCTGCTGCTGCTGCAAGCGGCGCAACTCGCGAATATCACAAAGCTCGACTATATGTATAGCCGGTTCGCGCGTGGATTAAACTTTGCAACGCGCAAGCGACTTTGCGTAGTAAGTATCTATATAACCCAAGTTTAAATTACCCGAGACCCGGGTTGAAAGCTCGTAAGCATAAATACGTGCGGGTAAGTGAATCGAACGCGTATTTTCGCCCGCTGACGTTATGCGCGTATGTCGCTTCGCTCGTTTATAGCGCGTAATTATATATACGAGTTAACGATCGAACGCTGTGGGCTACGTGTTTTTTTCGGTAAATTTTTCCGCGTATCTCCCTCGGCTGCTTTTTTGTTAATTTTCACCCTCCTCGCGCGAAACGCAATGTGTTTATGCGTGTAACTCGCGGTATACACGCACACTAACGCACCAACAACGCACGGGCAGCTATACGCGTAATCTGTCATTCGCGTGTCATGGTTCCGGGGGCGCGCGAGGGCATATACGGAGAGAGCCCCGGTGTATCAGCCTTGACCCAGAGGGAAAGAAGGAGAGAGAGAGACAGACAGATGCTACGTGCGCGTTTGTCGGTATATATACGTACGCACACCGCACGGAAGACGAAATGTAATACGGACGGAGTTGTTGCGTGTGTATTTGCGTGCGTGGGTGTGTATGGGCACGGGTTAACTTAGACTCTGCGGTACATAATGTATTGTATATACGGACATAGTTTTAACCATAAACATGTAGGCTCGAAATGCCTCGAGCCCGGGGGCCAATAATCGCGGCGCGCGTTTCTCTCCACCGATTTCGTTGCGGCTGATTTAACCGCGAGCAGCAGCAGAGTTGGACTGTGGCTTCGCAATTGTCCACATGAACGTGGACGTGGATAAAATTTCGCCCCCTTCGAACTCTTTTGCGCGTTGCCGCAGCGGTATATAGAATTACTTGGGCTATATAGTATATCGACGAGCGAGAGAGGGACCCCGAGAAAAGGAGGATCGCGGTCGAATCGCTGTTTGCGTCGAGCACACACACACCCGTACATGTATATGCCGACAAAGTCATCGTTGTGACGAACTCGTGTGTGTGTGCGTTGGCGTATACTTCATTATATCATCATCGTTTTGCAATCCTTCCTCTTTTTTCGTTGCCTTATACCCACGCGCCTTTTTTCCCTATCGAAATTCGATAATAATATTCCCGCGTCGAGTTGCAGAGGGAGAGAATTTTAATTTTCGCGCACACAATTTCTTTTTTGTACTCGCATCGACGTTACGTTATGGGTATGTTGGTGGGGTTAAAAAATACTGAAACTGGAAAGTACGCAGACTCAACTTTATTTATACTTTTTATTTCTTTACTCACTTAAAAAATAGAAAAATATAAAAGTAAATAATCGATCGAAACCAAAAGTCGTGTCGACTGCGAATGATCGAGGAGCCGCGCATATAGCAACAACCATGCACTCGGGAATTTTCGCGCGCGCGAGCGCATAAATAAATACACATCATAGATTTAGCGAGCTCGAGCGCGAGCGACATCGAGCATTGATGAGTTTATAAAATTTGCATACGCACGCGCGCGACCGTCGGAATTTATTCTCGTTCGAGTGCGCGCATAATGGTGCACCGTTTACAACACACTACGGGGCGTACAGAAAAATTGTCACGCGCGAATGCGAACAAAGAGCTCGAGCTGAGTATTCCGAAAAAAAAAAAAAAACGAGAGGCAGGGAGTTTGCACGTTACAGCTGGGTATCCGTATGCACACAAATGCACACGAGCGCGTATGGACTAATCGAATAGAGTGGGTACTTTCTGCCCGGTGTATACGCGATGTGTATCTGTACG